ATAAAATGTTCTAAAATGACAACATTTTTCTGCAGCATATTTTGTTGCACTCTGGAGAATATGCATGAAGCAACTGTCTGCTCTAGTGACCCTGCTGGCATTTTTCAGTTTCTGGTAGGATTGTCAAATGATTTAAAAAATTGCTATTAATCACAAGATTAAAAAATTTATCACAATTAATTGTTGTTTTCAATGCACTGTTAAAAATAATCATTTAAAATTTATTATAAATATTTTGCATGCCTTTCTACACTTTCAAATACATTATAGTCTGCATTTTAATTGAAATCAAAGCGTAGAGTGCTCGCTTTATATTCTTATTTTAAGACAACTATTTGCACTGTAAAAATGATAAGCAATCTATATGTCAAAGCATGAAGGGACATACCCTAAATATTTGTATCAGTCACGTAAATACCTAGGAACACTGGCTACCACAGTGCCATGCAAATGCCTGTTGTCACTTTCAGCTGCCATTGTAAATAAGTAGCAGGCAGCATTATCTCACATAAATGTAAACAAACTTGTATGTTTTAGTGATTAGCCAAACAAGAAATAAGACTGAATGGACTTGTAGTCTCTAAAGTTTTACGTTGTTTTGTTTTTGAATGCAGTTATGTAAAAAAAAAAATCTGCATCTGCAATTTGAACTTTTATGACAAAGAGATTGCACTACAGTACTTGTATGAGGTGAATTGACAAGTATTATTTCTTTTATTTATCTTTTTTACAATGCCAATATTTGTAATAAAAAATAATAACAAAATGAGCACTCTATACTTTGTATTCTATGTTGTACATGCAATTGATATATTTGAAAAGGTAGAAAAACATCCAAAAATATTTATAATACATTTAAAATGGTATTCTATTATTGTTTAACAATGCAATTAATCACAATTAATTTTAATCGGGTTAACCTGTTTTTTATTTAATTGTTTGAGTTAACGGTGATTAATTGATAGCTCTGGTTTCTGGTACATGTTACTTTTCTTCCCTTTATTTACCCTGGCATTTTCTGCTGCATACGCTGATAGCTTCTGCAAACTGAAGTTAAAAACCTTGAGTTTTCCAAATGTTTCTGTGGCAATGGCTTACATGGTTTTCTAAGTACCACTCTTCAAACCACGAGAAAGTGTTGAATCCCTTTTTTAAAACTGAAATATCTTAAAACTAAAGGAAACTACTTTGCTGCTCCTTTATTTGATGAATAACTGGTCAAATAGAATTACAGATCATTATCTACTATATATTTTAGAGAGTTTGTCTGCTTGTCTGTTTGATCAAGAACTCTCCTAAACAGTAAGAGCAAGGGCCACCAAATTTTGTATATAGCTTTCTCTTATCATAACTTAAAGCAACATAAGGGTTTGGTTGTGCCAGGAAAAAAGGATGTGCCTGGATTGGGATTGCTACTCATAAAATCAAACAGAAAAGAGACAGAATCACCAAATCAAGTACAATCCTCAAAACTGACATAATTGAGCGAATGTTTGAAGAAACTGAATGAAGATAAAACAGAAAAATAGGATTGCTTCTCAATAAACTTTACAAAAAAGAGATAAAACAGATTGGATATTAGGAAAAACTATTTCACTAGGAGAGTGGTGAAGCACTGGAATGGGTTGCCTAGGGAAGTAGTGGAGTCTCCATCCCTAGCGGTGTTTAAGTCTCGGCTTGACAAAACCCTGGCTGGGTTGATTTAGTTGGGATTGGTCCTGCCTAGAGCAGGGGGCTGGATTTGATGACCTTCTGAGGTCTTTTCCAGCTCTATGGATCTATGATTCTATGATTCTAACAGATAAATTTAGAGTAGTGTTCTATTTTGGCACAGCTAAATCAGTGCTTAAGGTCAGAAAAGTAGAAGATGATATTGGAACCAAATTGACTATAGCCCTTTTTTATTAAAACATAGCAGGATATAGGGATGAAGAAAAAGGTACACTTGATGGAATTCCCATTTAAAAAATACTAAAATTAACCTCATAAAAATAACACTATTTTTTAAAAATATAATAATTTCAATAAAGCATGTACATTTTCCTTTTAGTTTAAAAAAACGATTGAGTTAAAGATCCGAGAAACATCAGGGAAATCTAGTTCTTAATATATTCTAAATGCTTCTGAATTTAATATGGGGCTAAAATATTATTGCACAATGCTTTTTGCCTTCCTTTTTCTGCAAGTCAAGTCTTTAGTCACAGACAAGTCATGGTAAATAATTTTATTAACGTTTATGCTACCATTGATGCTTCATTAAGAATGGTGATGCATAACAGCGTGGACCACTTTGCAAAGTTCAGCAGCAGTCACGTTATCGTCATGAGGAGACATGCTTGCTTTGAAGAAGTTCTGTATATTAGCTGAAGGAGTAACACTGCATAAGTTCTGTTTGTACTGCTGAAAAGAAATGCCTTGATTCAAATCTCCTTTTCCATGATTGTTGACAGCTACATCAACCTCCTTCTTACACAGGCTGCAGGACGCATTTTGTTTTCCGGTCCTGCTTTCAGCAACAAACTCATATTCTTCTAGCTATTCACAATTAAAAGACATCTTGTATTTCAGCATGGTGACTATACACATGCTCTGGGGTGATCTCAAAAAGATATACTGGCATTAGAAAAGATTCAGATAAAGGCTACAAAAATGATTAGGCGTTTGGAACAGGTCCCATATGAGGAGAGATTGAAGAGACTAGGATTTTTAAGCTTGGAAAAGAGGAGACAAAGGGGGATATGATCGAGGTATATAAAATCATGAGTGGTGTGGGAAAGTGAATAAGG